TGCACATCAAGGTACGTGCTTCTAGATACCAAGCAACACAACCACAGCCTACCGCAGCAGTAAAAGAGCCATGAAAATAAGTGTTCCCTCCGCGACACGCCTCTGAAAAATGTCCAAAGTTGCAAACGTACAAAAATAATGAGTATAGTTAGTGGCTATAAAAAATTAATTTCCCCTAAAAATACAATACTCTATGAACAATTTAGGGAATTGGGTCTTCAAACAAAAATGTAATCTGCTATCTACCTAGACTGCAATCTTAACCTGGCAAGGGATCGTAAGAAAAGCAGGAAAATAGAAAGGTTTAACACTTAAAATAACCAGCTCTCACCTTAAAAGGGGAGATGTCCAGGAAAAGATGACAGGCAACCATAAAACTGCTAGTGGTTTTAGTATTGCAGTTTGGAAATAAAAAACACACCAAAGACAACTGATATCAGCCATGAAGTAACGGGGAATCTTTGAGTGAAAGAAAATCAAGGAGTCTCTGCTTGTGCTGCAGCTTCTTAAACAGTCCACCTAAAAGGGGGTGGTTTATGTACAGTAATAAATACAGCACTCTGGCAGGTAGGAAGGGGGGAGAGGGTAGCGAGAAACAGAACAACTGTCCAAAAAGGATGTGTTCACAGTAAAACTGTGCCTGGTGATTCAAGAGAAAGGGAGGGGGAGCAAGAAACAGAAATGAACAATCTGAAAGGTAAGTTAAGTTCATAGCAGCAAATAGGTGTCCTTACCTGTTAAAGGAGTGTCAGGGAGACTGGGAAAGTGTTCAGTTCCTAAACACTGATTAAGGACAGTGCTTCTCTATATCTTAAAGTAAAAGGAAAAGTTCAAAGCTCTACATTGCATAGTAAGCAGTAAAAGAAACTTCATACTTGCAGCCGGGCCACCTGCCCCTTGACACCTGTTTTCTCCCTTCAGCTACCTGCAACAGCAGCGTGTGGCTTTTTTGTTTTCCATTTGCATGATTAACTTGTATCCCTGACCTGAATTTGAAATACTGGAAAGATTTCTGCCAACATAAGGTACCCAGCCCGTCTCAACAGCGTCAACATTGGCAACGGTGGCTGAACCTGACGAACTCTGGGCAGAGTTTGCCCCATCCCGCCTCGAGGTAGATGACCTCCTGAAGTTACCACCCTAATCACTGACACGGTCTAATACGCTGGTAGCTGAAAAACACCACAAACCGATGAATTTAAGGACTCTATCGCACCGGGAGGCCTCAGCCAGCACTGGCAGCCCAGCCTGGTTTAACCCCTCCAGCACCTTCTGCTCCTAGTGACGACAAAGCTCAAAGTGGCTCAAAGCGTCCGTGACCTGTAACGCGGGCCTACAGCAGCGCGGCGTTTGTTCGCTGCTCTGGGTTTTACTAGGGGGTGCGGGGGTGTCCTCCTCCACCCCACCCCCCTCCCCTACAAATGCACTATTTCATCAAACACATTCACTCGATCCAGATTCCGTTTGTACAACGTGGCAACTTTCGGTTAGCGTTCCCAAGTGCCCTTACTTCAAGAGTGTAAACACACATCAACTTCTGGTCCCGCATCTTTCTGAAAAAAAAAAAAAAAAAAAAAACCAAAAACAAACCCAACCCAATTACAAGCTGCAAATATAAACAGCACAGGGATAGTAAACCCCCAACACTGCATACGTATCTTCAACGTTGCTCTTTTTCAAGTGTTGTATAATTAAACAATGTGTTCATACAGCTGTCAGGCAAATCATGATCTCCAAGCTTTTATTACATGCCTAGAAGCTACTCTGTAAAAGCATCTTCTACTGCCAGATACTACATGCCAAACTGCACTATCCATGTAAGACTTGGTTTTTTTAACATAATACATTCTAATTCTGATCCGCTGCACTGCAGCAAATAGCTCTGAATGTCTAGAATTGGCTATTTAAAAAAAAGAAAAAAAAAAGAGAAACAAAAAACCCACAGCAACCCACAAAATTAAAAACAAACCACCACCAAAACCAACCTTCCAGAGCAGAAACACACCAAAAAGGGGTACTGCTGCACTGGTATGACTCCAAGCAAATCCTCACTTCCACGTATTTGTGGTGTCTCGCTGCTACATGACACCAAACCAATGAGACAGCTTTCGGTCCAAGAGAGGATCTCTCCTGTTTTAGCACCTTGGAGCAGGCTCCCGCCCTTCTTGCCCACGCGCCTTGCTACGACGCGGTAACGTGAGCTCTGGTGCTGGTTAAAAGGCTCCTTCTCTGGTCAGCGTCACCCGCAGGGTGAACACGCACGCGCAGCCTCCTGAGCGGCACCGACTCCACTCAGCAACACGGTACTCACAGGGAAGTTTACAGGATTTTTAACACCAAACTACATCTGCAGTGCTCTTCACGCCTCTGGAAATTTTCAGTCATTAAACACTCCTTGGCCAGAGGCACACATAAAAGGCTGTGTGTGCAAGATCATGCTCTTACATTCAGCTCCCCGCAGGACTGGGGTCTGTTGAAAATTGTGCAGTTCTAATTTGGGCGTTAGGCTGCTTTTTGCATAGTCAGGTGGATGCTGACTGCTCCCGTAACTGAAAAAAACCACCCCAACCCAACTGTCTTCTGCCTTATTCAGTCCTGAATTAAGAGAGCCGTCAACCCTAAGCACAAAGGTAGCACTGCCACCCCACTGCTCCCAAACCAGGCTCACGTAGTCTTGTCCAGCGCTGACGTCAGCGATGCTACTCGCTTACAAACAATCCTGCAGCTGCAAAGACATCACGGACGATGCACGCAGTCTGTACAAGCACTGCATTCCCAGCTACCTTGTCGACGGACTGTATAGCACGTAAAAACGAGAGTGCACACCGAAGGAACGCTTTTTCTCCGGCTGTTCAACAGGATGGTACTTGCCCAGTCCAACAGATGGGACATTCTGCCGGTGGGAGCTGCATCCTTCTTCTCAGCAGGCCTTTACTGGACTCCACACAGCAGCACTGAGGTGCTACAGCCCTGACTGACCCTTCCACCGCCCAACACAACTGCACGGGGGAATGCAGTGTTTGCCAGACCAGGTATGCCCCACCAACAGGAGGGCTGACAAAAGCACTGGGGTGAATACTGCCATCGCAGGCGACTTGCCAAAGGAAAGGAAATTGTGCTCGTGCTCCTCGTTCGCTTTTGCCTCTAATTTTCTCATGCCTTGTGCATGTTTTTTCCAACCCCCAACTCCTTGAAGAGGTAACAGACATGGAGTATGTCCTCTCTTTTCCTCCCACACGTGCGTACGCACATGGGAGAGTAAAGATCCCACTAGCTGAGATGGCCTAAGACCTCACTCCACCTTCTTTAAAACAGGAGTTTGTTAAAACATTCGAGGTAAAGCGCTCTCTGCATCATCAGCTTGACTCTGTGTGGACTGTAGTGACTCAAATCCATTCCCAACATTTGACATTAAGAAAAACATAATATGAAAGTCCTTCCTTGGACAGCCACATATCAGGAAAACCTGGTAAGTCTGTCTGACATAAAAAAAGCTGAAACAGAAGGGTTACTGAAAAACTCACTCACCCCTTGAGCAGATTATAATGGACAATGACACTGATCTGCAGAGGAGCCAAAAATATTCTACGTTTTCTTGAACTGTAATGAAGCTGCAAACAAAACCAAGGGCTGTCTTAATTACAAATGTTAACCTGCAGGTGTTTCGCAAACAGCCTCTGAAGTGCATCACTTCAACTCAGAAGCAGCAATTCCAGTCTCCCTAATGAGTATGTTTATTACTGTTGCTTAAAGGTTTATTAGCTGGCTATACTAACGGCCACTTACATATTTTGCAGGCTGCAGCACACCATTTTCCACTTTACTCAGCATTTTCAGTCAAGCAGAGGCACACAAAACACGAACTCAACTCTTCTGTCGTGTGCTAACCCTGGCTTCAGCTGTAAATCTGAGAGGTTGAAGAGTCAGCCTAGCATATACCACTCAGTTACGGTCTTCATGTTATCCAGGTGTAACAACGCTGGGTTTGCGGAGCCACAGTCTAGCAAAGCCTGGCTGGCACCATTAAACGCTCCGTGTACTGGGTCTGGCAACCTGGGATAGCACTCCGCAGAACCTAACACAGATTTCGAGTCCAAAATACAATGGCTCTGACAAGATCCACAAATGAACAGGAGGGCCGTTCATATGGGCTTCTGCAACGGGAAACCTTACTGACACAGCTGCAGCCGAAACTTCCAAGTCACTGCCGGCGAATCACCCCGGACGTTAATGTCTCCCAGGCAATTCTCGTTTCTGCTCTGAGAAAACACAAGGCTATAGAGGCAAAGAGCGGGGGAAGGCCACGTTTTGGTAAGGTTTTCTCAAAACAGAAATTGTACCTACCCAACTACACACCACTAAAAATTCACCAGGGCATTCTTATTACTCTTCCCAGCTGCTGTAGTTCCTTGGCCGTGGGCTGCAACTTTAAATGGGGGAGGACACCCTCAAGCTAACATAAATCCCACGTGGTCAATGAAATTGTATTCCCTCCAATCTAAAATTCCTACCACAGAACAAACCAGCCACCAGAGCTCCTCCACCGCGCCAGGCTTTCATTCTTAACTTACAAACATCACTTAACTAGTTACTTTTCAAGCCAGATTTTCCTTAGTATTACCCCAGTGCACTTGGTTGGTTGGTTTTTTTACACTGACTATTTTCCCCTAACTGTATTTGTGCAAACTAACCATTCATTTGGCAACTGCTAGGAAATTTAACGAAAGCGACTGACCCGAGTTGATATTTCCCTGTTAAAAAAATAAAAGCAACTATGAAAAGCCAAAAGGAATGGCAACAGACATGTAACTACTCGCTAAGCACAGTTTTTCTGTAATTTTGACACCACCTTCATCGTTTCGCTTTAGCGACTAGAACTTCATCATTACTTTTCTTTATAAGAAATATCTAGTTCTGAAAAATTCTTTATTAATCTCTAAAAAAATAAGACAAATATTTGTATTAAAAGCTGGAGATCATTGATTTCAGTAAGTTATGGCTTTTTTTAGTGTAAGCATATATATATATTTTTCTAAAACAAGTATCAGTAAGTGTCCTGGGTGTTAGTTCCTATTTTCTGTTTCCAGCAATGTTCAGTATTGTATGTGCTTTGCACCTCAGAAGTGAGTCTGCCAAGGCACTTAGAGAATGTAAGCAAGTCTTCTAGGGACTTCATGAGAATGGGCTACCACTGACACAATACAAGGACCCATCCACCACCAGAGTCAATCCCCCAACCAAGCATGTTTCCTTTATAAACACTCAGCACCTGCTACAATTCCACAATGAGTAACAACAGTCAAAAATAACAAAAATTAAAAAGCTATTTACCATGTGTCACTAACCGATAAAAGATTTCCCCTAATAAAAGCACAGAAAGTAGACCTTGGCTGTCATTAGTAACAGCACAGGGTCACGCCTTTTTAAAAAAAAAAAAAAAAAATATTAACAAAAAACAAATACCACACGCTCGCTTAAACAAACAAGTGACTTGAAGAAATCCTCTTCCTTTTATCTGTCCTTCGAGGTTAGTTTTTCAATCAGTTCTTGCAGTGGTGCAAGTTCTCTTCTATCGATAAGGTTGAATTCCTGTAACAAGGATGAGGAGAAAGACACACATACAAAGTTTTACATGTGCAGCTCAGGTGGGAAGTCTTATTCAGATACAAGTTAGTTGGTATTAGCCTCCCCGAGTCCAGGCTTAGCCAATTCAGTGTTTTCTCCCTGTCTGCAGTTAGCTGAGCAGCAGTGTTCCACTGAGTAAAGCTTCTTCCCCCTGTTACTGTTCTACTAAATTATTTGGTAGGAAACACTTTTTGGTATTCAATTTTGTAGCAAACGAATACTTCATTGAAAGAAGCCTTCAAAGAATGGAAATTTTTGACAGTAAACCTACAGTATACATACATTCTGGCAGTATACATAGAAATGCAGTAAGACACCTAGGGTCCTGGAGGCGTTGACTCTCCTACAAATATTCTGGCTGTTAACAAACTCTGATGCTATTGTACCTCTGAAAAAGTAACCTAACTGTAATGCTCCTGTCACACTTACCTGAACGAAAAATATAAAGTGCTTGAAAGAAGTGTTAAGGTGTGCCTCTTCCTGTAACTGGATCACTGGATCAAAGTGCTGGTGATAAATGTGAGCATAAACTCTAAAGAGACGCTTTAAAATTGTCTTTGCCACCGACATGAAATTCTTTGGGAACGGTACACCTAGAAATAAGAAAACAGATGGCTTATTTTTCAACGCCCATGCTATGTTACTGTATTTTGAAAGCCATTATAACCCAACCCTCCCTCTTGCACAAGAAGGGCTGTTCCTTCTCCCTCAGCCATTCCGACCGTAAATCACACAATGCACCTAGGCTGAGGCTCACTGCAAGACCAGAGGGGAGATTTCCCTCCCTTCAGTAGACCAGTGACTCCGGGAACTGTTTCCAAGACCAATCTGATTACATTTCTGTGCTGAACCCTGCTAGCTTCAGCTTCCAGCTACTAAATCTTGCTATGCCTCAGCACAGTTCCCCGAAAAGCCTTCTTGGACCAATAATTTTCCACCCTTCTGGCAGGATTCAGACACCCAAACACAGGTATCTAACGTGCCTACAAATGCCCTCTCAGTACCTGCCTGGCCTCTGACTGCCGAAGCAGAAAAGGGGAAGTTTCCCGCAGGTTCTGAGTCTCACCCATGGCTCTGGGCATGTCCCAGATACCACGTGGTACTCCAAGGGACACCAGAAACCTTTGTGTAGGTAACCGAAACTGTTACAGGCCCTTTGGCATCAACCAGTCGAGTTTTCCACTTCTCTTGGCTAAAGAGAAATCAGAAACAGGCTCTCTTCCACCTGCCTCCTGCCCAGCAAAAAGACCCCTGTTTCCATCCTGCGCATCCCCATCCCTTAGCCAGAGGCTATTGCTTTCCTAACTGCCTGCTGAAGTACTCTGAAACATGCTCCTTTCAGTCATTTCAGTGAAAATGACCCAGGACAGGTAAAATCGGTTTCAACAGCCGACCTTCGCCAGTGCACAGCTTTTATTAGAACTGGTTAGGAAACAGCAACCAGCTACTGGGAGCAATAATCTCTTTAGCTGACACATCCGCAGGCTAAAAAAAGATACGTATCTACCATCTAGAAAGATTAAACCTGTCTAGCTTCTCATCACGTGGCAGTTTTCCCAGTCAGCTTAGTCTTTTGCAGTCTTTCCAACCGCTGAGTCCTGCCTGAAGGCCAGAGGCCCAAGTTGGATGCTGTAGGCCAATCATGATCTCACCAGTGCTTTAAAAGCCTAGCAAGAAAATTTTCATACTCCTTCCTACTTAAACTTGCCCTGCTTACATACACATCAGATTTCTTTCGCCAGCTGCTGCACTGCATGGAAAGTTCATATCTCGTTGGTTATCCATTGCGGCCTTTAAGACACTTTCTAAATCACTACCTTTCAAAAATTCATCCTAATAAAAGAAAGAAGTCTTCAGCAAAGTATATGCTGCAGTTAAAGAGAGATCACGTCTTGATGCAGCCTTTCAAACACAATTCTAATATTAACTATTCAGTATCATTCATGTTAGCAGTGGACTTCCAGCCCAGCTTTGACCTCTACCCTGAAAACACACACCATACTATGCGAAGAAACCATGCTCACATCAACTGAGCAGGGAAGACTTGGCTTTTTGTCACTTCTTTCCAAACTAACCAGCCTTCTCTGCATATCTGCTTAACCCTAAGTAAAAACAAATACTTGATTCTGCCTTGGTGGCCCATGTTTCTCTGAAGAGGCTTATTCAAAAATATGCGTCAAATGCTTCAGAAACTATTCACAAGAGAAAAGCAATTAAGACATGTCCGTTTCTTCTTCCACAATGGATCATAAGCCTATGAGTAGTGATTTACTGGAAAACTGCCAGTTAAGGGCTTTAGAACAAATAGTCCTTCATGCCTCCAGAAGCAGAAACCATCTTCTTCTTACCATCGTTTCCAAACTGGTGGTTGTTCATTATCTTCCTCCTGCTATTCTGAAAGAAACCTTTTTAAAACAAACCTTTCATCTTCACATGAAAAGAAAACAAATCATTCACTTAAGATCTAAGATACACTTCAACTTCTTTGGAGGTAAGGCCTAGGAGAAGCTCCTCATGAGGACCAAACATCTTTCCTGCATCAAAAAGCTGCCAGTTCGTGCCAACTGCTGGCTATAAGGTTTTGAGACCCTCTGCCTTACTTTCAACAGCACACTGTTCAAAATGAAAACACATCAGATCTGATCAACACAGTAATTAAACAACAGAAACAGTATTTCCTGCATTCACAGCTGTGATAGATGTTTATTAGGATCATTTACCATGGATCAGAGTTCACGTACTACCACATAAATTTCATCTTAAGAGAGAAAAGTGCCATATATATAAATATAACCTTTTAAAGTTGCCCTATTCAGAAGTCATTCAGGAGACCTTTTAATGCTGCAAGACTTGAATATTCCTGTACAATTGTAATCCAAATACATTGTTCAATTTCACTTGTTTACTTTACCTATTTTAGAAGGAAATAGCGTTTCATCATCCAGCTGATCCTGGACCCAAGTCATCAGGTAATCAATGTACTTTGGTGCAGAGCACTTAATTGGTTTCTTTATGTTTGTCCCATCTGCCCAGTGGTACTCATATCTGGGTTGAGACGACAACAAGAAGACATTTCTTAAGACAAGTGAATCATTCATATCAAGGCCTGGCAGGCTGCTCTTCCTGCTCTGCTCCCCGTACTCCCACACCCTCCCACAGCCCTTCCTTGGAACCAAGCTCCAAATGCTTCCGAGTCATCTGCAGCTGCTCTGTGCTCAACCTCCCCACTGCAGTCTTGCTTTCGCTGGACTCCCTTCCGCAGCCTGCAAAGGCCTTCAAAAACGTCACCTTTCACAGCACAACTCGTTCATCCCCAGTTGCAACACTCTTGCCAAAAGGCACACAGCAGTCTGCGGTCAAACCCGCACATCAAAAGGTGCTGTATGAGGAGGTTTCCAAACCCTGAAAGGCAGCGCTCAACATCTGCAGCAGCTGCAAACCATACACACTAGACCCCTAAAATGTACGGAATTTCTTCACATTTAAAAATAATCTTAGAGATTTTGCAGAACTGAAGACCAAACTACATTGGCTCTTGCCAAAGATCCCAAATTCTGACTGTATTAGAGACACAGAAGAAACTCAGGGGGAGGTTAATGCCATGATCACTGTAGTGATAGGACAAGGGGTAATGGGTATAAATTGAAATCAGGGAGGTTTAGATTAGATGTCAGGAAGAAATTCTTCACAGAGAGGGTAGTGAGGCACTGGAACAGGTTGCCCAGAGAAGCTGTGGATGCCCCATCCCTGGAAGTGTTCAAGGCCAGACTGGATGCGGCTTTGAGCAACCTGGTCTAGTGGAAGGTGTCCCTGCCCATGGCAGGGGGGTTGGACCGAGATGAGCTTTAAGGTCCCTTCCAACCCTAACCATTCTATGAATCTATGATTTTGGCTAGCAGATAAAAGAAAGCTTCTAGACTCCACACGTGCTCCTCAGAAAAGGTTCGTCTCTGAAGGTCTAGTGCTACCATGCAGTGCATGAAGCATCTCTGTTTCAGTTATACCACTGACCCATTTGATTGTTGCAGGCCAGTAACTATCTCTTAGCTTAGTTTTTCCATCTGCAGATAAAGTGATATCACACCTTTACAAACCACTGACATGACTACGTAACATTAAAACGTTCTTTTTTGGTCCTTTTCCATTCACAGAGCTGATAATGATGACATCTTGTATGTAGCACATTTGATGAGCAGATTCCAGCGTCACTTGTTTTACAGTTATCACTTTAGGAATTTTAAAAGCCATGGAAAAGCGTATTAAACAGCTTCCATTTACGTGCATAACCAGGCAGAAACAAGCCCCCGTGAAATTAGAATGGAACAGGTAGTTTGACTGGCTTGGGGAATGCAAATGACCCAAGTCCAGACACAGGAGAAAACAGCTAATCTTGGGAACATACAGCTTAAAAGAAACCCCAAACACATTTAACACGGGGAGTCTGACGATACCAGCTTTCAAGTGAACCACAGCGCTTCTCTCCCTCCTGCTGCGTACAAATGCAGGCAGCTTAATACTCCGTGCCAATCGGCACAGAGCCGCACGTAGTCCTCTCTTTTAGATGTGAGCACAGCATCACCCCTCCCGTCCGCCTGCCATCAGCCAGCCAGCGCTGCTGCCGAACGGCTCTCTGAGGGGCGAGCCTGCTGCTCAGCCAGCGGCGAAAAGGACTGCCGAGCTCCGCAGCGCCGAAACCCTCCCAGGGAAACTAAGGAACAATGATTCGGGCCAGCTGCAACACTCCTCTTAAAAACAGAAAACCTAAAAAAGCTAACAAACGAAACGAGGCATAAAAGGATAGTGATGTCAGCTCAGTCATGCTTTTACAGGAAACATACCCGCTTCATCTACAAGCTCTATCTCAGTTCTTTCTCAAATAATTACAAGAAATGTTATTAATGGTTAATATTTCTTCTCTTCCACGAGAACAGCCTGCTCAATTTGATTGTTACTTCTTAGTACAGCAGTAGCACATCGCAGTGTCTGGGTGCAGCCACCGCTGTTCAAACTCTCCCCTGCTGTCTCCGATCGGTGTTGTGCGGAGACTGGAGACGGCCTTCTACTTTAAAGACCACGCGTGTTGTTTTATGCAAAACTTAACTGTGTCTGATAAATTTGGCTTCTAATCTGGTTTAATAAATTTGGTTTGGTCAGAACAGTGACTGGGAAAACATTTCCACGATAAATAACTTCTACGAGCGATTAGGAGCGTGCTGCTCCAATGGAACAAAAAGATCCCATTTTTATAACGGCAGCAACTCAGAGTGTGTGAAAGCATCTTAAAATTCTATCTCAAAACACATGCAAAAATTCCACACCTGCCGAAAGGACCACAACACGTCTGGATTTCTGGAAAAAAGCATTCCTCATCACCCAGTATTAGCCAAATACTGAGATTTCGCTGGTGTTAACACAGGACAAATATCACCACTGCTGAGGCGCCACGAGCAAACACCTCCAGCTCTGGTGACAGAAACAAATGAACCTTATCGCGACAGGTAGTCCCTCTACAGAAAATACATTTTTAGAAACCTCTACGGTTTCGTAGAGGTTTGTAAGGGCAAAGCAGTATGTGAAGGACAGAGCAGTACGGTTCACTTCGGCACACGCAGGGGAAAAGCAGAATTCCCTCATACCAATATACACAAGTTATTTGCCATCTATAAACAGAAAACCCAGCTGTGCTTCTCACACTAGAAAACATCCCAAAGTAAAAATAATCACAGAACCTGCTGCTCCACCACGCAATTACGTGTACATGGCTTAAAACAGAAACAAACCCAAAGAAACCCAAAGCCCAAAACAAAGCAAAAACCAGCTGGACTAAAATTAAAGCGGTTATCTTGTCTAACAGCAATAAAATGCAGTGCCTCAGTAATGCCTTTTACAAGATTCTCAGACATTTATGTGGCCCTCTCATCTCTAAATCTCAGCAAAATGTTGAAAAATGCACTGTTTTGTCCCTCTGTGACAGTGGTACAGAGCGAGCATCACGAAAAGGCAAAAGGATTGATATGGCTGAGAGACACAGGATATTCCAAGGACCTGATTACATGGTTTTTCTTTTTTTGCCGCAGACACAGTGGGCAGAAGGCAGCAAGTGAGCGTTCAATGACACCGTGTATCGTCCTCGTAGGATTTACGGGAGCTGCCCGTGTTGGAGTGCTCAGCTATTCCGATTTGAACCTATGAAGACAGCACCACTGCTGACCAATAAACCTCAGGAAGACCAGAAGTATCTCACTGCCATTAAGAGTGAGCAGCTCCAACTGATACTAATAGCAAGAAGTGATAACCAGTTAAGAGTTTGTTTGGGTAAGAAATGGTTGGTCTTGGCTGAAGTGAAAAGAATGGAATATTGCCATCAGTAATCATGTGTTTTGGAACAAATTAAACCAATCCTTCTTTCAAACAGCTAGGCAATGAGCTGTACAGCAGGGGAGGGAGATCTGGTTTTGATCTTTACGTCAACCCTTCACTAACTGAACGTATTACCACCCTGATAAAAGCTAAGTCAGCAATCCTTCCAACAAGGACAAGTCCAGAAGAAAGGAAAGCGATCCCACAGCACACAAAAATTTACCTGCCCTTCTGTTAAAATCGCTACCAAAAAGAACCAATGGGCAGGAGAAGTAGCCCTACATCCCCAAACATTTGTTTAAAGGTAGCCCTTTAGAGAAGGCAGCCCTCCCTGTATCAAAAATAAAACATTAAAAACCCAGACGTGAACCTAGGTAACCTGCCTGTTGACAAGGGTCTTTTTGTTCTTTCTTTAGAAGGGGTTTTAAACACCAGCAGCAGGCAGTGGATACAGGGAACACCATACTTCTGCTCTGGTTGAGACACCCGGCTTATTTTTATCTTAGATTGCTACCAGTTTGACAGCTGTACTATGAAAATTGTGACTGAGCCCCAACGAGTCCTGAACAGCTACCTGCGTGCGCACCGGCACCTTACCACCCTTTTCTAACGTATCCACCATGAACACTTTTCCAGTGGGAATGCAAAAATCAGATCTCAGAGCCATACAGTGCTTGCTGCTTTCGGTTCTCCCCATCGACTCGTGCTACGGCTGCCTAACCCATTTCAAACGGCCTTCTGCAAGTTCCTTCAGCTAAGGCATACACTTCCAGCTGAAACAGAGGATGCAATGCCGGTGGCAGCTCAGCTGGGGATGTGAGCAGGCAGCAGCCTTCAGCCCAGAAGCACTTACGAGCATCTAAAACTCAATGCCTCTTCAACTAACACAGCTTGAGCCCAAAGAGAACAGGAAACAACAAAAACCACCCCGAGTGCTTTCATGTTGACGGGTTTTCCAGCAGTACTTCCCTGAAAATACATGTGCACACGCTCCTCTGATCCTTTCACAAAACCCAAGCCCTGAGCACAGGTGGAGGGGATGCAGAGTTGGGGGAGTGCTTTACAAATCCTGAGGACAAGATCACCTAATCAAAACCTTGGCAGAATGTACCTTCTAGCATCTCTTTTCTACCCTGCTTCATAACTATTTAAGTACATGTATTTCTGTCAATTATTATCAGTCTCTTTGGAGAAAAATAAGATGTTTAGTCTGGCAACCAGACATCTAAGCCTTTAATTATTAACCTCCACCCCCAAATAACTGCTTCTCAGCAGACTGACAAAGCAGAGAACTATTTTCATGCTCTTATTTAACAAATAGGAGTCCTTTCTGCATGCCCAAGCACAAAGCAGACAACGGGCTGCGTTACTGCGCAAGCTTATCCCAAAGTTCTTCTGCATATCGGTAAACCTCTACCCCTTTTGCATTTTCACCTCTCCCCACTCTGCGACAGTAGGTCTGCCTGCCCACACTGGTTCTGGCACTCACCAGCGACCATTTGTAGTTTAAGAACACAGCACCAAAGCTTTTCTTGGTCCATCTGGCTGCTTTCACCTTGCAGAGCTGCTGCCCTCCCCGCCTGGCCCTCCCAGCAGCATCCTGCTGCGTCCCCTCAGCTCTCCACCACGCTGCTGGCAATTACTGGCTTCAGACAGTAACAACAAATGCCATTATAAAAGAGGAGGAAGTGGAGGAGAGGGGCTTTTTTTCTAGTTGTTTATTCAAGATTTTACAGTAGTTTAAAAGGGAGCAGTGCCCTCCCTCACCACTCACTTAGAAATGCAGGTATTTTCCTCTTTGGAAGACACTAAGCAACTGGAAAGCAAGAAATAACTCAAAGCTTGGATGCCTGTACAAAAGCGTAAGCAAGAAGCAAAGCAGCGAAACTTAACTGAGGGACAAGGTAGGGCATTCTTACCCAGACTACTAAAATGTGTCGCCAAGTTTATTTCTACCTAACCTACCCAAATGCCTAAAAGATTTTGTTAAGCCCTAAACACTTGCATATAAAAACTGCATATTTTAATTTAAGAAGCCCTTATTAATATTAAAAAAAAAAAGGAAAACCTATTTTGATCATCAATTTACTTCCCAGGCTAAAGGAAAAAAAACCCACACCACCAAACACCCCAAAAAAACACCTTTCTGTTCCTCGTTTCCTTAATGACGGTTCAAATTTTTTTCCCTCCACAGGTAAGAGGAGAAGACATCCTTTCCACCCACAGAAGCTATCCTTGGCACTCAACTGAGCTAGTGGGAAAGTTTCAAATGCAAAACACCTCAAAATTGCACACTCTGAAAAATGTGTAAAAAATCATCTTACTTGGGGCCAGCAGACATCACGGGGCAGCTCTCCTCCGTGCAGAAATCCGTAATGGTTCCATAAAGCATATTGATCTGGTTGAAGAAGTCAACAGCTGTAAAGCATTTAAAGCATCAGTTAACACTCTGCAGCATAACGGCAACACAAGCTTCCTACAGCCTTGACTATAAGGCGCCCACTGCTCAAGGTCATGGAATATTTTTCGTGCAAATATTTTGTTGTTATTGTTTTTTCAGATGTATTATAAAGGAGATGCAGAAAGCAACCACCAACTTTCTAGAACAGGCTCTGGCAATAACTACTTCATTGTTCACTGCAGCACAATCTCAATTTGAATGAAGGGAAAGCTATTTCCTTTTCTGAGACTTTGGTGTGTTTTATCAGAATCCAAGTTTCTACTGTCAAGTCTAGAATAAAAGAAAGATTTTTCAGTGTAAACTTGCCAACTAGAGAGAGCTGTTACTCATTACATGACATGAACTTCCCTCAGGCTTTGTATGCCATAAAACTGTCTTTCAAAGGGCATTTCACAGAATGGTTGGGGTTGGAGGAGACCTTGAAGACCTCCTAGTTCCAACCCCCCTGCCATGGGCAGGGACACCCTCCATTAGAGCAGGTTGCTCAAAGCCTCATCCAGCCTGGCCTTGAACACTTCCAGGGATGGGGCATCCACAGCTTCTCTGGGCAACCTGTGCCAGTGCCTCACCACACTCTCCAGGAAGAACTTCCTCCTGATGTCCAATTTAAATCTACCCTCTTTTAGTTACGTTACGGTCAGCCACCACACGTACAGGAAATGGGTACAGAAGTCATGACCCAGGAACAGTTACAGTGCCAAGCAACTTCTGTTCCTCACATTATCAATTAATTACTGAAAATCAATACTTAGTTCACAATGTTTCCTCGTTATAAGCCATCCTTGAGAGTTTTGTTCTGGAGGGTTATTGATGAAGTTTTGTTACATGTTTGGGAAAGCAGATCTTTTAGCCAAGGCTTCTTTTTAACAGTCTACAGCTGAACTACTGAAATAAAAGACCAAAAGTTAGCATCTCTAAATATTCACATAGTTCTTACTACTTTAAACAGGTGCTTGATTACTTAGGACGTTTTGAAAGCAAGACTCGTCTTCAACCACCTAACAGCAGGTTCTGTTCTTAGGAACTGTGGTCACTGCAATCAGTTTATGAAACCCATTTTGTCTCCCTTCAATGGATGCCTCCCTTGCATCTGCTGGCACGCACAGCACATCACCAAGGTTATCAATAGTCTATCTTTTCAAAATGTTTATAAGGTAATGGATGTCATGAGTAAAAATTGGAAGGTGACCAATATTAAGCACTAGGAAATAAAATTTTAAGTAGGCTGGGTTAAACTCTCATGACTAAGTGCATGACACTGTTCCAGAATAAGAGTTTTACTGCTTATTCCTGTCTCCCTTATCCGGCGACAGTTACTGTAAACTCTGCTCCTGGATGAACGCCAGTAATACTGGCATACAGGAACTTCAGACTTGTGGGACTAGCTTTGGTGTGCTTATTGACCCATTTTTATGCACGGATGAAACTCAGCAATTTCAAGAACCCAAATCAAGCACGGTGGAACCCAACTCCTTGTATTTAACCAGAGCGCTTTCCAAATTTAGCTATTCCACCGACACATCATTATCCTGAAAGGAGCCATAGGTAACATATAAATAGATTTAATGCCCCCGTGTGCAGTCCAGGCTATGCTGCTCCTACTGCTAAGAGCACTGCGCCTGCCACCTCTGACAACAGCAGCCTTTACAGCTAAAACTTCATTTCTAAATCCTGCCTGCAGAGCCAGTCCTCAGCATGAGAAACCAGTGCACAGCCTGCCTGGGCTCAGCATCACTTAAAACTTACTTAACTTCAGCGTGACCTGTGCTAGGTCTACAGTCCCATGTGCCAGCAACAAACTGTTTCTTTGAGACAGATTCAGGAACACACAAATAAAACCCCTTATCAGCAGTACTGACAGTCTAATCATATCACCAAATGAATAGTCATGTGTTATTCAAGTTAATGTTCAGGTGACAAAGCTCTTCATTCTGAACCAGCAGGGAAAGGTGTTCCCTGTGATCAGTCCGTGCAAGAGTTCAACGTCTTTGTTCGAACTTCAAAAGTGAGTTTTAAAAAGTCACACCTGTGACACTGAAGAGTCTCATACAACCAATCCACGGGACACGGTGGAACTAACTATAGACCTCTCTCAATGCGGTGCCATGCCAAAGAGAAGCCGGCACATGACGTTGCAGCCTACCCAAATCTCTGTTCCTTGCTTAACTATTACAGAGATGCACAGTTTCGCTGTGATGAAACAGAGAACGGCAGCCTAAATGTAAGCCCTGGAAGACACCACGTACTGTGAAAGCAACTAACTGCTGAAGGGAGGGTTAAAACTGCACCCCTCTCACCTATTTTTCCAGAGAATAAACGTTAAGTGATTACACGGACATCGTGGCAGCAAGCTACAGCAGATGCAGGATATGCGCTTCAACCGTGTGACGCAACTTTCCAGGTATCACACGAGAGAAGCAAATAAAAAATGGTATGGCGTGCACCTAGCACAGCTCATCTCCAGCAACAGAATCTTTTCCCTGCACAGCAAAAGCAGAAAACAGCAAAACCACACTGGGAAAGGTTGATAAAAAGAGTTACAGAGGACCAGGAGGACTCCCAAACCTTGTTTGGGCAGGGGGAGGCGACAGTTAACACCAAAGGCAGCGAGAAGTGGTTACTTACAGCCCTTATTTCTTAAGCATGCCCAGGAACTGTTAATTAAAGTTTCCATTCCCTGCTCCCAGCAGAAACCACAGTCCAATGTTTGCTTCAGGGCAGGCACATTCAAAAAAACCCACAGAGACTTCGACAGGATGACTGATTATTGTGAATCCCACACCCACCAGTCTCAAAAGGCTGAGACGCACACCACCCATCCACCAACAGTGGGTGACGACCAAGAAAAATGCAAGATCCTCTTTTCCAACAGGCATAAAACTGTAGAGTGTCTCTGCATATTTCCATTTCCTCTTTTTACTCATTGTTCCTAAATTCCAAGGACTCAGAATATTTTTTTTTTTTAAGTGCTTTTCTACCCAAAGAAGTGCACACTGCCTGGTGTGCTATTACAAAGATATGGGCAGGATGTACTTCTGAAATTATTTTTCAGTATTTTCAAAGCAAGGAGATTTTAAGTGAAACTCAAAAACCCTGATTATACACTTCTCACCTTTTTTTAATTTTGAAAACATATTTGAAATATCCACATGTACATCAACTCATTACCACAAGACATGATATCGTGGTTTAACTCTGGCTAGCAAAATACCACGAAGCCACCCTCACATATTCCCCCTCCTCTCCTCCCATGGAAGGGGATAATCGGAGGAAAAAGACAAGGAA